GAGCAATTCTGTAGGATTCTTTAAACGCTCTTGTCCGATAGCCGCAGCATATTTTCCAAGCGCCGAAGCTAAAATTTAAATTCTTTAGTTGATCTTTATTTGTAACAATGTGGTTTAAAAAAAGTTTAACAGAATACCTGCGGTCGCAGCCTGAGTTTTTAAGTGAGGACCAGTTCCCTCTTTACTTTCTTTACGAGCGTAATCCGTAGACAAGGATTTTAATTCTGCAAGATTACGATTTTCTGCTTCTACACTTATACCTTCTCCATGTATATCCACTTCATCTTTATCAGGCACCTGATGATAATCGCCGATTGGCTCTTCAACATTGGCTTTCATGTATAATAAAGTGTTACCAAATGTTTAAAAGAACAAAGATAATGTGAAAATAACGGATAACATACCACCAACTCCTGGTGGACCAAATTTCAAATGTCTTTGACCTGTTGTTGGGTTGGGAACATATTCACCATTTATTTCTCCTCTTTTGTCAAATATTCTTTTCGTTGTAGACATAATTAATCGCGAGAAAATTGTGAAATTAGAAAGTTTTAAGAAAATTAAAAGAATTTTATAATAATTGGAACGAATTACGTAAACAGTTCGTATTTCGTTAGTGTATGACATACATAAATATTATATGACATAAAATTTGAATCATAATTTTATTTAAATCATATCCATATGTTAAACTAATTAAATTAATCCAACCCCCTAAATTAACCGGGTATATATAAAACGCATATTCGAAGTCACGTGGGATGAAAATTTTTTTGGTCTTAAAAAAAGCTTAGTTCTTAACTACTTACATTGATTTAGAATTATTAAGTAAAATAAAAAATAAAAATAAAAAAATATATATAATGTTGAATTTATCCCCATTCGTTTCGAAAGATATAATTATCCATATATTGCGAAGATGTTTCTTCACGATCGGATAATGGCATTGAAGAGGAAAATTCAAAATTTTCTAAAAAAAAGTCAGCAATAATTCATTACATTTCATACATGAGATTACTTCGATAGAAATTTGTAATAAACACGTACCTAAATTATTATCTAAAAAGGTTAATAAATTATTCTCAGCATAGAGATATTGAATTCCTCCCGACTGAGTATTTAAATCATCCGATTGGGTAATCAAATCAAAGAAACTTTCTTGGGGAACTTCTGATTGAGCAATCAAATCTTGCGTAAATTCTTGGGAAACTTCGGTTTCTCCTGATTGAGCAAGCGTAATTTCTTGGTAAGTTTCTTCAGATTGAGTAATTAAATTTTGTACGATTTCTTCAGTTTTTCCTGATTGAGTTTCGGGATTCGTATCATTCAAATTTTGATTACAAGATACGAATTTTATAGTCTTTGGTTTTAGTTTCCTATAACCAATATAAAGTCGGTCATAAGTATCCTTTACATCTTTAGGGGCAATTTCCCAAAGATGAGGTATATCTTTAAATGAATCCGAAAAATGTCTAAACTGTTTTTTTTTTTTAGCTATTTGGATAGCTGCACATACATTGATATAAAAGATCATATAAGGATTTAATAAATCCTTATAATCACAATCAATCAGTTCTGTTGCCGTTGAAACCTCCACAGGTAGAAACTTATGATTCTTATGGTCCAAAATGAGAACCTCGGTTCTCTTCGAGACCGAATCGTTGTCCAAAGTGAATGTTATTTTTCCAGTCATATCTTTTTTTTTAATGAGCAGGAAAATAAAAAAATGATACTTTTATAATAAGTTTTATAATAAGCAAGTAAGGTATCAATTATATCAAACCCTGTTATAACCTTTTCTGGTTATGTAATAATCTCGCACAAAAATTTTTACAAAATGTCGAATTAGGTGAATTTAATTTTAAGAAGTAACTTTTTTTATAATTGAAATCAAACATCGGGAGAATTGATGGTATTTGTTTTATATATTTACTTTGAATCTTAAATTTAATTTTTGTTCCACAAAATGCCCGATTTAGTTATGCCAAGCCAAATGAAAATAGACATTTCAACAATATTTGCTGAGATTGCAAATTTGTTCAAATTTTTATTATTTTAAAGAGGTTCTACTATGTGTCATTGGTGTCATTTAATTAAAAAAACCCGAAATGGTATTTGTATTGAAATTCCTTGAATTAAATATTTTAGTTCCACCAAAGTACCCGATTTAGTTATTCCAAGCAAAATGAAATAAACCCTTCAACAATAATTGCTGAGATTGCAGATTGCAAATTTTTTTACTGTCATTTGTGTCATTTTAATTTAAAAAAAGTCCGAATTCAGAAAAGATTGATTATGGTTGTTTGTATTATATTTCCATAAAATAAATATTTAGTTCCACCAAAGTACCCGATTTAGTTATGCCAAGCAAAATGAAAATAGACCCTTTAACAATATTTGCTGAGATTGCAATTTTATTGTGCGCCATATTAGGAAATTTGCCTTAATGCATTATGAAAGAGGCACGATAATTTAGGTCGATCGTCAATTGAAGAATGTTATTTAAAGTGTTGAAAATATGGGAGTCAGTATTATAATAGTAAACGTTCTCATTTTACACTTGTTTTTCATCATTCAATATGCATTCGGACAGAATTATTCACCGTAGCTTGCTTGATTCAATCAATGGAAATATTGTAGTCTTGAAACCCGACTATGTATTTTTGATGTGGAAATTGCCAACAAGAATTATTTCACCAAATGATGCCTATAATCTTTTTAGAGATAACTATTTAGAAGCAACACGATCTATTCAAAGAGATTTAAACGTCGACAAAGAAATTGCCGAAGCGTGGAAAAATGCAGATGATAAAGTTCGTAAAGAATACGAAAAGTTATGTTTTCTCAATAAAATCCCTCATCCGAGTACTCTACCATGTATTATTACTACTTTGATCGATCGTCTAGATTTTTGTCTCATTAATATACCTCGTTTAACAGCTAGAAACGTACCTCGTTTAAGAGCTAGAAACGTACGTATTAGGAATTTAAAAAGAGAAAAAAAGCTCTACATAAAAAATTTACCATTACAATCAAAAGAAATTCAATTTTATATTTTTCATAAATTCACGACTCTTTTCAAGTTTCAAAAAAAGACGAATAAACAAGCGCACATCTTTTATTTGCTTATTTGTGGAGACGGATATTCTGGACAATTCGTCAATTGTTCTTTCATGGATCAATTTTTTAATTTTATAATGGTCAATTTTTTTAACAAATCAATTGTTTAATATGAATGTTAACTTAAGATATGAATTAACTAATTAACTATGCAATTAGATTATATTTTAAGATTTATGATATATGAATTTTGTTTAAGAGTACCGGTCCGAGGAAAAATTACTGGATCGTTATTTATGTTTTTATATTCATTTAAAATTTGTGATAAGCTCATTATTATGCAATAAAGTATATTTTAAAAAAATACAATAAACAGGATGAGAATCCTGTTTAGTACCATGAATTTTATACTAGGAATATCACAATTTGACAAATAATCATAGAACCGGAAGGCCCTAGACAACCTAAGAAATTCACCCCTTATTAGTTGAAATGACAAAGGTCATTTGAAAAGATGTAAATGACCTAAACAGGCTCTGTGAACTTTTTAAAAAATTGATATTTTAAGATTTTAATTTTTTGACAAAAATCAAAATATCCGTTTTACTCGTTTTCTTTCGTCTTTTAACCGATCCATGGAGACGTATCGATTTCTTTGTTTTTTTTTTCATTAGATTCCTATGAAATCAAAGTAACATTTGGCAAAAGTATTCAATTCTTGATCTTTTGAAACTGATCCCGCTCGCAATGCATAAAAAAGAAGTGTGTTTGGAAATTTAAAATAAAAACAAAAACAAAGGCAATGAATTAATTAAGAATCCATAATTAACCAACGATAGTATAAAATTAAATATGGTGGTGCCAACTGGGCAAGTGCGGCTTCCAATTTCAATATAGTAAAGGTAATTCTTCTATGAACTTTGCACCAAGAACTCATTTCTTTCGTTTGTTTTTTTGAATGCACACGCATTCGCTTTTTTCCAAAAAAAAAAAAAAAAAAAAATAAACACTCGGGATGATTGTAATCGCCGCTCACAAAACCTATCCATATTCATAGTTACAAATATATGGATAGGATTGAACGCTTGAAAATAATTCATTTGATATGGGTTAATTACAGCTAATAAAGAATGAATACCACCAAATTGACATAAAATATTAAAATTTCGATATCAGTACCATTTTTAAGCCTGTTGTATATAAATAAAGTATTATTTCTTTTTTCCTGATGGGTTGATCGATCCTCTTCCATCTCCAGAAACATTGAACGCGAGGTTCCTTTCGCACTCTCGTCGGAATGATTTGCCTACGTCCATAAAATCAAAGGAAATTTAACGAGGTTGATTGATTAATTGAAATTAATAAATAAATTCCATTGAATTATCATATGATATGAATTATTATCGCTCATCCGAATTGAAAATGTCCAGCACAAGCAGTTAATAGAAACACATTGATCTTTGTCAAAACTTTTAATTGAAAAATTTCCTTATTGTCATGATAGAATTGCGGAAATTCTTCATAAATTATTTGAAAACTGAAAGTAATTGCATAGGTTAGTTACACATTAAATCAACTTATTATTCATTAATTAGTGAATAGATTAAAATGATGAAAATAATTTGTAGGCTTTATTATAAGAATGATCTACATTACAGGATTTCTTAAATTTATTTTGAAATTTAATTAATCAAACTCAAAATCCATCTATATATTTTAAAACTATTGCTAATCAAGTGACGGCAAAAATGAATCGAGTAAGAGATATATTGAAAAAATTAATATATTTTGATTCCCGCTTCGAAAATATAAAGTTAATATATAATAAAAAAAAAAAATAAGTAATTATAACGGAAGTACAACCAAGAATGGTGGTATCTTACCGGTGTAATGAAATAGCAGGAACAATTTTTTTGATTATATTTATGAGGATGCAAATATATGCTACAATGCTATAAATTCCCGCAATGATCCTATGTATCATTATAAAAATCCACTGCCATTTCACATCAAAAAACGCGTTAAATATCTTGCAATTCTCATAGGTTCCTTCTGAAACTTTGTTCTCTCAAAAATTTCAATGTATTTCCAGATCTTGAAAATTAATGATTTATTTGCAAAAGGAGCCATAATAGAATTATTAAAGTAGCATTTTTTCGGTTTAATTAAAAAAAAAAATAATAACATAAAATTTCAAACCTTCTGCTTGTATAAAAAAATTTTCTATAAATCAAAGCGTCAAAAGCGTTAAAATCATTTTAACGAAAGTGAATGATGTTTTTACTCTATTCTGTAGAACTCTCACTCACCATAATAGGCTAATACATGAAATACATCAATAAAATTAAACCTTATAAGGTTGTTCTTTTAGGAGCATAATCGAAACTTCTTACTTTTTCCATCTATATAGAATGGTTGATGCCACTTGAAATTGGCATAACAAATCTCCAATATTATGCATATCAGAATTCTCATAATTTAACATATTACGCCAATTATTTTATACCAATTTTAATTTTTTTTATTTTTTTGACAGACCAAAATCGACCAATGTAATGTACAAGTAATTGTTAAAAGAATGATAATTAGTTATAAAATACAGTAATAAAAAATATTAAGTTTATAAAATAGTTAACTAATTACCAACCAGGCTCGCGATGAATTTCAGCATATATTCATTAAAAAATTTAATTTCCAATTTTCTTCTAATACTCGTATAATATTTTCATTAATACTCCATAAATGAAAATCGAGAGATTCTCCGCAAGTCCAGATTATATATTAATATAATAGGGATTTCGAATACCTTATTAAAGTGTCTTAAAGAAGCCGGAATTTATAATTCTTTTAATAAATAAGTATAAAAAGATTTGGGAGGGTTTCTAGGAAAATCAGGAATTTTTGACTAAAATTAAAGAGAGCTTAATACATTTTAATCTAATAACATCAAAAACTATAATGCAATAAAAATCTCAATTTTGCTAAAAAATTCCCGGAACCTGATTTTCCTAGTAATCAACCCATTTACATTAGTTATTTACAATATTCACAGACTCCCCTCTTCTCAAAATGCAAAGATACAACGATTTTATAGAACTTACCTTGTAAACCCGACGTTATTTTTAGCTCTTGTGTATCAGAAACGCAAGAAGCAGAAAGTATACACTAATTCTGTACCAGAATAAATGAACTTCCACGATTTTTTTTTGTGCCAGAAATAATTTTTTTTTTTTAACATTAATAGATTGTAAATCGAATCGATTAACTAAATTTGTAATTTTGGCATCAGGCCAAAATTACAAATCAAGTGGGGATGAATAACGTGTATAACATTAAAAATCTGTCAAAAAGTCATTATAATAATTTATAGGAATGAAATTTTTATTAAAGTTATAAATGATGCTGCGATTGTTATGAAACTATTTGAATAGATGAAAAAAAAGTACGTACAGAATTTACTATGATTTCTAAATACCGAATATATATCATTCATAAACTCTAGAAAAGAACGTCCAAAAGACGTACAGGCGCGTACGAATCTGGTTACTATTTTGGTTGATCTCAAAATTTTTTCAAACGTAATATTCGCAGCATTCACGTTTTCATTTTTCAATTTATATTTACATTTACATTTTCAATTTTGGCACGACCGATCAAATTATGAATACTAAACAAAGTTTTCATTAGAATTGTAACAGATATTTTGGACTTTTTTTAAAAAAAATTTATTGAAAATTTCAACTGTTTAAGTATAGTGTCACAAAAAAATCATAATTTTTATTTTTTTTTTTTTTTCGTAAAACGGTCGGTCATGGTCGGTTACTATTCAGTCTCGCGACTCGGTTACATCCAGTCAACGGCAAACCGGTCCCACCGCTGACTGAATTATAACCGACCGTGACCGACTGTTATTAATAATTCCGATATCTTTGTGGGATATCGGACATTGACTAACCCAATGGCCTAACCTATTACAATAACAACAAGTATTTGATGAACTAAAATATTTCAAAAAGATTAGAAATAATTAAAAATTATAATGATAATGTAAATTTATTAAAATATTATTATTTACCTTGTTGATTGATTTGAAAAAAAACAAAATCGTTTAAATCCTACGGAAAAGAACGACCCAGTTCTATTCAAATAAAAATTAAAAACATCATGAATATAGATTATTCATTTCACGAATATAAAAGGACGAAAAACAATTTTTATTTATAATACCTGGGCCGGCCGGCCTCGATAGGCCTTCCTCTTTTGACCGTCGGACTCGATGATCGTGCGTGACTCTTCTCTAGTAATCACGACGTATAGAACGCAACTAGTATTTACGTTCATTGTTTTCATTAAGTTATGAAAGTATTTGGTCAGAGATAAAAATGGGAGGTTTGCAATTAAAATCATGTTTGGATTATTATGTTTTGTAACTTTTTTTTAATAGCAAAATGACCCAAATATTTATGTGAAAAAAAATCCGTTGTGTGTAGCCTTATGATTTACAAAATTCATGTGTAAAAGGTGAATCACTGATTAAAAGATTGTGGTTCAAGTAAAAGGACTTCATGATGTAATGGCAAGTTTTACGCCAAAAGATTTCGATTATCTCTGTATTTTTTTTTTTTGATACCCGTTTATTATTGTTATCCGATCCATGTTATGATACCTGACGAAGTTTAATGTTTTTTTTTTTTTAAAAAAAAAAAATGTATTACAAGGAGAAAGTCAGAGATGTTTTTAAAGCAAATGAGCACAAGACGTTGACTGATTTATTTCAACAGTTATCGGTTATGGGAGACGAATTCTCCTTAATTATGTTATTCAGTTTTCAGTATATATTAAATATATACAAAAAAAAGGTTAGTCACAAGAAACTGAGATTAGATTCGGCAAAAAAAAAAAATTTAATATGGATTAATTTGATTTATTGATTGGAGTTCATTCAGTTTGTAATATACTCAATACTAATGCGATGTCCGTATATGTTAATGATTAATATGTACTTCAATAATTGTTACATTGAAAAAAATAATAAATCAAGTTTTGAAATAACAGAGAAAGAAGAATCAATTATTTCGTGATAACCTTTGAAATTCTTTCCAAAAAGGAAGCACATTTTCATATGGTATTTTTTTTTTTAATGTTGCATGTGAATTTAAAGTATATGAGCATCATACGATCAGATGTATGTATGTACAACTTCCCCTCTTTTTGTGTTCAATATAAAACCACTTGTGTTCAACAAAATACTACGTAAGCAAAAAATACATTAATTCCAAATGACATTATGAAAATCAAATTGTTTAACTCTACCCATCTAATAAAAATAAAATAATGATATGGGGAAGATTACTAGGAAAATCAGGTTTTGAGAAATTTTTTGACTAAATAAGATCTTATTGACATTTTAAATATCAAAACTCAAATGCAATAAAATCTTAATTTTGTTAAAAAATTCAAAAAACCTAGCAATCTTCCCATATTGGTATAAATTTTTAGGACAAATATATTCTTGGGTAAATTACCTAGATTTAACATATGCAAAGGTTATCACGTGATAAATACATTTGGGATTAGGATAATAATCTATTTTTTTAGACTAATAAAAGAATGAGATGACTTGTTCGAGAGAAAGATATTGGAAGAAGACACTTACAAGCAGGCACTTAACGATTATGTGGTAATTATTACGTAATGTCTAAAAACATTTAGTCTATGAACAGGATGCACGAGGGAAATATATTTTTATAGTTAAAATTTTAATTATTTACACCGTTTTAAATACGTCGGTAATTTTTTATAGAATACATAGTATGAGAGACTTATACAACAAATAAGTAATTGTAAATGCATATTTCATTTTATTGGAATGTATTTTTGATCGTTTCAATAGAATGATGTGATGATACATTTATGTTTTCTATTTAATCTTCAAAAACCTTTATCAATTATTACACATTTTTTATTATATAAATCAATAAATTGAATTAAAATAATTTAGAAACTCATCGGGATCATTGTTTATCGATTCTATCGATGACGCAGTAATTTATCTAATAGTTAGTTCTCATATAAAGAAATTTATAATTATAGAATTCTAGCATATAATAATTATCAGGAAACAAGACATCAAATCGATTATTTAAGGAGACGTTTTTTTCTTTTTCAAAAAAAAAAATAACAAACCAACTCAACAAAAAATTTAAAACTACAAAGTTTTCTTGCGCTTTTATCTTGATTTCTTTTGATGATTTACGTTTTGCAACCAACATGGTATGATTTGCCAAAGGTATTTGCATGTCAAGATGTGCTTTTCTTTGGTAAATTTAATTGATGTGATTTTCTTAACTCATAAAATATACAAAAAAAAAAGATATTAAAAACAAAAAAAAAAATATGCTACTTCTTTTCGTGAATGATTACATATGATAAAATAAATTTTCATTATATAAATCAAGTATTTTATAAAATTGGTTTACATTTTTGATTATAAGAAAACATTATTTGATTCAGCTTGAATGAGTCGCGTATATTTCTTTGTTAAAATAAAAAATATTAAACTCTTACGTGTTTTTTAACACAAATTCTTATTGAAAACATTATAATTATCATATGGGTAGATTGCTAGGAAAATCAGGTTCCGGGAATTTTTTAGCAAAATTGAGATTTTTATTGCATTTTAGTTTTTGATGTAATTAGATTAAAATGTATTAAGCTCTTAATTTTAGTCAAAAATTTCTCGGAACCTGTTTTTCCTAGAAACACTCCCATATAATAAATAAAATTATTCCCTTATTAGGAACAAAAACAACATACGATCATTTTTAAGAACTTGGACTATTTTTCTTTTAAAAAAAAAAATAATTCGAAAAAAAATTCCCTTTAACAAATTATATTAATCATTAGCAAAATTATATCCATGGCAAAATTATCTTAATATTTATTATCATAGCTTCTATGATTATTCTTGCATTTCAATCAGCAAGCGTTAACGCTGGTCTAACGCACATCGATCATATCGTTCAAATAGTAAAGCTCGTCCCACAGCTTGTCAAACTGCATGTCATTTTACCTGGCTTCTTGTCACGTCTCAGCTAAGATGATTGCTGGTTGGTAATTCATAATGAATGGTAGCTTATTGGAATCTTCGTTCACAAATTATTTTTTTTTTTTTATTTTTATATTTTTTTTTAGAAAGCTTTGCAGAATGCCTTGAGGACCCTTTTATCGTCGGATGTATAGTTGCCGAAAGAATTTTTATGGCAAGGTGTGCTGGCATTTTAATTGTTTAAATCCATAGCGTTCAATTATCCAAAAAATATAGTTTGGCAATTTTAGTAATTCTTGGATCTTTATCAGAAAAAATCAATTCCCTTAATATTTTCTTGCAGATATTTTATATTAAATAAGTTTTTTTTTTATTTTATGTGTCGTTGAATAACAAGATACTTACAAAAAAGTTTAATATAGTCAAATGTATTCTCTTGAAAGTCAGTGTACTACACATACTTTTTTTTTTTTAAAAATAATAAAAAAGCATTTTGTTTCGGTAAAGTCCCGTTCACATGGGCGTGCTACCATTATCCTAGACGCAATAATTTGGAATTTAAAAAAAAATTATAATCAGGGACCTTACAAGTGGGTCCACAAGAATCTAAACTGAAACCAAAATCAAAATACCAATACCCATCACCTACTAGCTGTACTGTACATACAAAATGATTGAATTATCACACTTAAATATAAACACTCTTCCGATCGTACCGATTTACGTTGCATGTCAAATAATTGTCAAAATTTATTTTAAATTCTACTTAAAGATATAGAAATTTATCAATTTAACAAATTTTATTGGTCAGATTTTGTATCACCCTGAAAACTGAAACGTAATAGAATCTTTCTACTTTTGAGAAACCGTTAAATCAAAATACTTGAATTTATTCAGGATATAATTACATTTAAATCTTAAAGTTGTTTACAATTATTATATTTTTTATCAATTTGGTTAAAAAAGTTCTTACCAGAATCATGGTAAATTTTTGTGAATTGGTGAAACAATTGATGGCATCAAATATAAAGATTAGGAACTGCTGGACATGAAATGACACGTCAACTACGATGCATTAAATTAGAATTATATTATCACACCAATTTCCTGTTTAGTAAAAGAACTATGTCAAGTTAATACAAAAGTTTTAACAATCTTTAAAAGCTTTGAAAGCTGATTATTAAGGATGACCACTTCCTTCCTTGCGAGCAACACTGTCAGTATCCTTAATTTTTCTAAGTAAAATTATTTTTTTTTTTTTTATGAATTTCTCATTCCAGAATGTAAAATAACTTGTTTATCTTGCGCTGGCGATTTAATTACAATTAAAAAAAAAAGATTATATATATAATGTCGCGTAAATAAATTAAAAAATGATTCGCTTAAATATCTCCCTCACTGTAAATCATATGACCACCACCAAAAAATGGTTGCATATACTTATTAGGGGTGACGTTAATTGTGAGAATTAGCATTTTTCTTAGTAAATTGAAGAACGGCTGGGATGTGACGCAAAATGTGACAAATTTCCTAACCCCTTAACTAAATCCTAATTCTACCCTAATCCTAATCCTAATCTAAACCTAACACAAATACTATCCCTAATAACAAAATACCTGGCAAATAAAATCCGGCTACCATTTTTTGGTAGAACACTATGTAAGTCGTGATTTGCTGATAGATATTCCGAAAATCTTCTATTCCCATTCTAGGTGCTAAACAACTTTAGTTCGAGAATTTCTCAATTTTTTTTATTTTTATTGGCAGATTCCCCATTATTTCCAATAAGACAGTTCATAAATAATTGTTCATATCGAAACCGTTGAACTCTTCATAAATCGTGACACATAATTATCTTGGACCTGCCCGATTAACGTTCCAAACTATTGTACAATTAAAAAGTATAACTACGTCATTCTGCTTTCGAATCACGACATTTTGGTCTACATTTTTGACGAATTCTTGTGTAACATAACGTATCAAAATATATCCGTATGTTAATTCCCGTCAAAAGTCAAAAATCGAATCATACCATTTGTTAAATGAATTTTGGCTCGCAACTACTGTTATATAAGACATGAAGTGTTGAAATTGTTAATCTGGTTTAAGTTCGTTTATATACACGTATAAGCATGATTGCAATAATACTGTACTTGATTATAGAATGTCCGTCAATAACCTGATTTTAGCATTCGTCATTTGAGGTTACTAATTCATCTCTAATCCATACAACATCATTGTCCAAATGACTAGAATCTATGTTTGTCGCAAATACAATGTATAAAGAATCCATCGAACAATTTTGATAATTTGATCTATATATGACGATTACCATATTATCGTTGTAAAAGGGAAAAAATTGTTTGAAGAAAAAAAAAAGTGAGTATGTACTGTATTACGCAAAAAAAAATTTTTATTCGTCTATTTCTTTGAATATAAGAGCGTTCGTTCTCTATTCATTTGGAGCGCAGTGATCATGAAATTAAAAAAGCTCTCTGAAATTTTATACCTATTGATTACAATATTAGTATCATTTTCTAATTCATGAAACCGTCCATAAGGTTTGAATTGAAATTCTTCATAAACAAATTAGAATTGCAATATCAAAATGTACTTGTTGTTCTTTTTTTTTTCGATGTATGAAAGAAAAAAAAACATCAAGTTAAAAATATTCAAATTTATAGAAATAAAGATTTATTTCAAATACGCTAAAAAATAAATAAATTGAAGTGTTTATAATAAGACTACTTCTAATTATAAAAATAAAATAAATATGGGAGAACGTCAGCAAAATTGACTGCCGCTCACATATGATGAATTCAAATATATAATTAAGGAGGGTAGTTATGAATGAATTATCTATAATTAAGAACCCATGTCTTTAATGAATAAGAAAAAATATATGGGATGCTGAAACTTCATCATCACACCGTAAAAAAAAGTTAACATAATGAAATAAAAAATAATAAAAATCATGACACATAATCCAAAATTGTCGGGTTTACTTATTTTATTTTGAGCGGATCTCAAAATTAAATCTTGTGCAAAATTGATAACATAATTGTATTGAGAAAGGTTCCTATACTCTTCAATGACCTCCTTATCTGCATTTTTCCAAGCTTCGACGATTTCTTTATGAACGCGATTAAATTTTGAAATATCATCTCTTTTGCCTTTACCATTCAATGCTTCCAAATAATGTTGCTTGAAAATATGAAATGAATTCTGATCTATCAAGTTTCTTGAGGTGGTATATCGAACATTTCTTTCAATTGTTGAAGAGGATGGTGACCACATCAAGAATTCACGGTTTGGCTTTAACACCACCACATTTTTTTCAACGGTGTTTTGCTCCGTAATTTCGATATTTAACAAACACCTAATCATATTTGGCCAAATTTTTTTTTTATGTAATTTTTAGTTTGAGGGAGCAATAAATCTTTTTTATATCTTTTTTATAATTTCATTTACGAGATTATTTAAGAAAAGTTATGCAATTATCAATATCTCAATCTCAATGATTTACATTTCATCATGCAATGAAAATCTTTCCTATAATAAATTTTGATTTGATAAAAAAAAAAACACAATAATATTTCTAGATTAGGCATTTTCTCAAGGCCTATTCAAAAAGGTTAAATTCCTAGTACCTTGATTCTTTACATCTCTTCCATATTAAGCATCCTTTCAATGAAGAATGATGACTCGATCCAAATAAATCAATTCAGCTATATCAGAAAAGTATTAAATTCCTAATACCTTATGTTTCCTATTTTGATTTCATCGAAAAGATTCTATATTAGTCATTCTTTCTATATAGAATGATACCTCAAAATCAGAATAAATTTCTAATACCTTACACTTTCCTCGTGGATACGTTTCATAGGTAAGATTCTATATTAGGTATTTTTCAATGAAGAATGATACCTTCGATCCAAAAAAAAAACCTAAATAAATCAATTCAGTTATATAAAGAATGAAAAATTTTTCTAGTACCTTACACTTCCTAATTATTTCAAAAAAATAGGGGGAAAAATCTTTCATAGGAAATATACTATATTAGGTATTTTTTCAATGAATAATGTCCTCGATCCAAAAAAAAAATTTCAGTTATATGGGAAAGAATAAAGTTTCTATTGACCTTACAATTTCGTATAAATGTTTAATAATTCTAAATTAGGCACCCTTCAATGTCATATAATCCGAGCTTCACAAAAAATCTTTACCTTTATATTCAATGGAAAATATTAAAAATGATAATAGCTTGAAATTAACGAAAAAGGACAAATAATAGAGGCATATAACGTATATAAAAACCTAGAATTCGGTGATTTTTTACCTACCTGGATAAAAAACTCATCACTATCCATTATAAAAAACAAAAATGTCCGAGCCCTTGTCAAAAATAAAAAAAGCAATGTCTGAACCCTCAAAAATAAAATACATATTGGACGAAAAAAGTCCGAATGTCTTCGTTCTTGATATTCAAACAAAATTGTTTATGGATATCAAAATTTCCTCCCCCGAGGAAATCATGCGTCGTTGTACCAATCGGGAGTACAAAGACTTAAAAAATTCGTACATGGTTTTTATGATCGATTGTCGCGAAGCATTCAACGCTTCTGCAAAAACAAACAAAAAACTTCGTCAAATTGCTGATTTTAAGAATCCCCCATCACTTTGGCGGAATTCTCCAAAGAAAGTTAAGGCAGCATACGAAAAGGTATTTATGGGTTATAAAAAATTAGTGCCGAAAGTTCATTCTTTTGTTCAATATTTACCTCAAGGTACAAATGAGGACAATGAGGATGACAACGAACCAATCGAAAATACGGAACAAGTTATTGTCCCGCCTATTAATGATCCAACTTTGTCGCCCGAAGGAATGGAGTCAATCATGATTACAGGTGTGTGAAAATAACTATCCAACATCATATATGATGTTATCACCTTACATTTGTCACTGATATACTAAATTTTGAAGGCCATGGATCGTCTTATACAACAGACACACTCACTGATGATTTGGCTACAACAAGTACAAGTGTACAACAAATCAATAATATAAATTTGAACGAATCTTATTATGTTCTTTCGGATTGGGAACATTATCTTTATTCTCTTTATTATTGACAATGATTCATTATTGGACTCTGTATGATTCTTTTATTATTATTTTATCATTTTTTTTTCTTGCATAATTATCATATATAATATTTGTCATCTTTTTCTTTCATATTACAAATTTATCATGATTGTTTTATATTAGCTAGTTCAGTTGATGGGAATCTAAAATTGGTTTCTTAATGTTCTTTATTATACAAATTGTCCGACTACTACCACAAAGTTGCACATGCTTATTAAAAAAGAAAATTGTCAGATATTATAGTCAATACAATCCTTACCATATATATATTTTCCTGTCTTATTTTTATTAAAATATATTAAATCAACTATATTATTAGGCATAGTTCGATCAATGGAAATTACATTTCGTTGTAATTAATTAATATTAATATTTTGGACTATATATCTGGACGTTAGATACTACACGTAATAATATCAATGTGTAACAGAAATAGGGAAGTCCGGTACGAATTCGTTTGATTAGTATGGTTCTGCATATGATAAAAAGTGACGTTCGTAATTCTGAGTTAATGACTTGTCCTCAGTTTGACCTTGCCTTGATATAAATTATATATTAAACTTTGGTGAAACACGGTCTCTATTACAACTAGTTAATTTAAAACTTGTTTCCGATTCAAAAACTTGTATATATATATAAGGACCGAATCGACATTTGATATCATTAGGGCTTCTTAGATGGTGGTTGGTTAGTAAATAATAATATGAAATTTCCAATTTAAAAAAGTTTTTGATAACTAAAATTTATAATAAATTTTGACCTGATCAATCAGATCAACAAATAATTTCTTTTTTCTCTAATTGTAATTATAAAGAAAATGTATAATTTTAAACTTAATTTTAAATAAAAGATATATTAAAATTAATTTTATTTATATAAAAGAGTAAATTATTTCATCGCACGTGCGATACATCGCCTCCTGGGCAAAATTATGTAATGTTGGGCAAAATTCAAACATGTGACATTTAACGTAGGGTGTGAAGAATAGATTTTTTAAAAAAAAATTCTGTCTCCAGAATATATATGAAAATGAAAAAGTGAGGTATGTGACACGGGTGACAAAGGAGGCGATGTATCGCATCCATGCGATGGTTAAATTATTCTTATATAAAATTATCTTTAATAATAATTTTATCAAATTCTAATTTTAATATATAATTTAAAAATAAACCTTATTAGATTTTATTGGATTTAAAATCTTATGATATATTTTAATAAAGATATTAATTTATTATAATAAATAGTTTAATTATAAGTACAGTCTACCTTTTCTACAACCATATCCTTTAATATATACTGTTAACCAAAATATTTTAAAGATTATTTATTAATTAAAATATTAAATTTATAATATAATTTTTATGAAATTGTAAATATATTTTTATTTAGTAAAAAACTTAAACTTAGAATAGAAAAATGTAAAAAAAAATATGTGCAAAACATATATTTGTAATTAAAAATATATATAAAATATATAATTATAAAATATATATAAAAAAAATGCATTTTTTTGAAGTTTTAATATGATTATAAAAGATATAATAGTAATATTTAAAAATAAATTACAATACTAAAATATATTCTTAAATCTCTTATAATTATAATTATTTTTCATACTTAATACTATAAAATTATATTCTATTCCAAATCTTATATATATTTAAATTTCATATACAGTTAATTCTTTATAAATACATTCCTTTAAGATTAGTTATAAAAGTACATTTAAAGAGTTATATATTTATAAAATAAGAAAATTATATGAATAATATTAAGCATTATCTATTTGTATTTATTAAAAATTAAAAATCATATAAAATTAAAAGCAATTATATTCAACTTTCTCTAAATACATCCTCTTTAAATGCACATATGGGCCCTTTGCAATAGAAAAAAAGAAAATAGCTAAAAAAAATGAAAATGAACTAATAAGAAAATTTAATATAAAGTGACTGGAAGAATATTTTGATATATTAAAGTAAGATAAGTTACATAATAAAATTTTTAAATAATTCAAATAATTTATAAAAATTGCATATCTATTTATAGATTTAAAATTATCTAACTTATAAGTTAATATAAAATTATGTGACTTATAATTTAAAAATTATTTATAGTTTTATAGATAAAGGTGAATTTCTTTTCACAAGAAATTTGTGATTCTCTAAGAGTTTCGCAGATAAAGGTGAATTCTAAGAGATTTCACAAAAAATTTGCAATTTTCTAAAAATTTTGCAAATAAAAGTAAATCTCTAAGAGATTTCATAAAGAAATTTGCAATTCTCTAAAAGTTTTGCAGATAAAGGTAAATTTTTAAGAGATTTTACAAAAAAATTTGCAATTCTCTAAAAGTTTTGCAAATAAAAGTAAATTTTTAAGAGATTTTGCAAAGAAATTTGCAATTTTCTAAGAGTTTTACAGATAAAAATAAAACTCTAAAAGATTTTGAAAAGAAATTTGCAATTTTCTAAGAGTTTCGCAGATAAAAATGAATTTCTAAGAGATTTTGTAAAGAAATTTATAATACTCTAAAAGTTTCACAAATAATTGTGAATCTCTAAAAGACTTTATAATATTTTTTTGTAAGTTTTAAAATTTTTGTAATCTATAACTTTTCATAGTAATTGTAATTTCAATTAAGAAATTCATTTATACACTAATTATTCTATAGGAATATTGTATTTTTTCTTTATTTTAAAAAATCATGATTAAATAATTTAAATAATATTAATATATTAGATAAATAAATACTTTAATATAAAAATTTATCAATTAAATTACAAAAAAAAATTTAAAAATATTCTTCAATAAAATAATAATATGTCTCAACCATCACATATATTATTTAATAACATTTTTTCTAAAACTCATGCTGAATTCAATTTGTTACAATAGGATTTAAAGAATTTAAATCAATTTTAAGTTATGTATTTATCAAATGAAAATGAAAATTTACCTCATAATATGAATAAAGATAATAAAAATGAAAATGAAGATAAATTTGATGAACTTAATGACAATAAGTATTATATGATTTTGATAAATTAATTTTTTCACTTAAACAAGATAACAAATTTTATTAAATTTATTAGCAAGTTAAAATTATAGAAGTTGATGATGATGATAAATATGATAAATATCAAAATTTTAAAAATAATTTAAATAAATTTGATGAAGAAGCTTAAAAGCAAAAATTGCAAATTACAAAATGTTATTAAGAAAAATGTCTTCAATTAAAAATTGATCATAATAATATAATTATAAGGTATTAAAATTTTAATTAATTAATTAATAATGAAAAAAATATGTCTTTAAAGAGATTCTTGCAATAACAAATAAAGAGAATATTACAATAAAAGAATAAAATAAAAAAAAACTTGCTAATGAATACTCATGAAAGAATTAAAATTTGTAATTCAGCATTTTTAGTAATATATAGTATTGAATTTAAAAAATAGAAGAATATAAGAAAACATTATATTTAAAATGATATTAACCTACAAAAACATAAATTAGAAGAATGTTTAAGTAATTATTCAATTTTATTTGAAGATTTTTAGAAATCTTAACATATATAATAAATTATACTAATACACTTTATCTTCTTCTAGTATATTAAATTTTATTTAAAATTAAATTTATCTTAAATTTTTATTTATTTTTAAGGACATCATTTTAAAAAAAGAAACATTACCAATTATATTTCTTTTTACTAGAGAAAGTTATTCTTTCTTATATCAAATATTTGAAGAAATAATTAAAACAAATAATAATAAAAACCTGTATATTTAATAACCTTTTGATATATATAGTATAAATATATTTTAAAAATAAAATTTTTATTACTACATAGTGATTTATATTTTTATATAAATTTATAAGATTCAATACAAAATATTGGCCAGAATAAGATATAGAAAAGAAAGTTATTAAATGATAATAACATATTTTTTAGGCTTAAAAAAACGTGATTATTATAAGTAAATTATTAATTTATTATTATATATATTATTATTTTTATTTATTTTATTAACTTAATTTTTTATTAAATTATAGAATATGTATAGAAAATTCAAAATTAATATTAAAAAATTATAAAGATTTTTTAATTTTACATTCTAATATCTCTAATTCAATTAATTTAATTAATCATATTTCTTGAAATTTTGCTGAACAAATAAAATTACCATATTCTTCTCAACAAGAAATATGTTAAATTAATTTTATTTTTATTTTTAATTTAAATTATATTTATTAATATAAAATAAATTTTTATAGAGTACTACATATTTTAAATCACTTTATTTTATTCAAGTTTTTGAAATTTGTGAAAATACTTTTTTTAAATAAGTAAGTATTAAATTATATATTTATTTTAAATTATTTATAAATATTAATATATATTTATTTAAGTTAATTATTTAATTAAAAAAGAAAATATTGGTAAAGGAGTTAATATAATAATTTCTTTAGTATATAACTATTTGAAATTCATAGATTAAGTGAAAAAAAGTTATTATTTATACAGATAATTGTGCTAGTTAGAATAAAAATAATTTTATGATTATGTATCTAATATAATAAGTAAGGAATAATCTTTATAAAGAAATAACATATTTTATAGTTATAGAACATATAAAATTTAATCCTAATTATTTTTTTAGATTATTTAAATTACAATTACAAAAAGCTGAAGTAGATAATTTGGATGATTTAACATAAGTTGTAGAAGATTTAACAATTGGTAAATATAATTTAATATAAATAGTTTTTGATAAAAAAGGAAAAAGAATTGTCTTTTTTTATATATATACAGAATTTTTAAATAATTATTTAAGACTATACTAAGTATTTTTAAATAACATTATTTTGTTTTTAGTAAAGATAAAATAGTAATATAGAGATTAAAAAAAAATAGTATATAGAGAAAAACATTTAAAAGATATTAGAAAAACTAAAATAATGCTAACAGGATTTTCACATGAAA